ATTTCATCAGTCATCCATTGTTGTTTTTGTGTCTGTATAACGTTGTTGAAGATGTTTCTATTACTTTCAAGGTAAGATCTTTAAATGTGTTCCATATTTCTGTGTTGTTTTCATTTATTGATTTCTTTAGCTCATTGTTTAAGTCATTTTCTATTAACGTTTTGTTGGATATTGAGATATTTAATTTTGGTGTTTTGGGGCTTTCTTGGACTTTTTTGAGATTCACTTTGATGATAGTTATTACAGGGTTATGGTCTGGCGCGATATCTTTTATAAACCACTTAATAAGATAAAGGTAAAATGCCACGTCATAAGGAATTTTCCGATGTAGAAATGCGCGATATGATCTGTTTGTAAGCCCAGCAAAATTTTTTTCTAAAGTATCTTAACGCTATTTCGAACTTTATCCCAATAGACAGCAACCAAACCATAAAACTATTAGATCATTGTTCGACAGATTAGGCGAAACAGGGTCATTTCTTCCCACAAGTAGGAATGCTGGAAGACAGAGAGTAATTGATGCGGATATAGACGATGAAATTATTGTGCGTGTTGCATAAGATCCTGAAACCAGTACAAGGCTTGTTTCTGCGGCCACTGGTATAAGCAAATCCACGGTGTTAAGAATAATACGGACAGAAAATCTGTATCCGTATTATTTCAGTACACACATAATTTTTAGCAAGGTTTTAAATTAATCAATTTACAATAAGGCGGCATTAAGACGATCCAATGTTATATAATAAAGGAAAAGATCTCTGAAGGAATCAAGGATCAAAGAGGAAAATCCTCTTTTCCCATGGTACTTAGAGAACGGCTTAAAGTTTATCAATTTCCAAATCAGCAGTATCTGTCTTTACAAGACACAACCTTTTTCTAAATCAAAATATTTTTCCTAATAACCAATCTTTTACATCTAAAAACCATGTCAAATACCTGGGCCTTATCCTGAAAATTTGAAAACAACACATATAATATATGCTGGATAGATGCAACAAAGGTACTAATTTTCTTAGAATGACAACTAAAGTGTAGTGGTGTTGCAATACTGAATCATCTTTATTGTTTCACAGAGCTTATATATGATACATTATGGATTATATTGCTACTCTCTATGATTCTGCGTCTAGAAATTTTCTAAGAAAAATTGACATTTTTAAAATGCTGCCTTGAGGGTCTGTTTTGGTGCTATGAGATCCCCTATACAACCACTACATGTTGAAGCTTATGAGTCTCCTCTTGCGATTAGTAGAAGTTTATTAAGCGAAAAATGGGTACTCAAAGCCCACTCAACAAATCCCAAATTAGTTTCCAGTACACGTCAACTTAACGAATCAGATCTCACTCACAAATATTGGATTAAAAAGCCATCTCAACCTTTGTGCACTGCTTTACTGAACATTCTATTTTTTTCAAAGAATTTGTCAAAGTGACAAAAATTTACACTTTTTTGCTCTCTTTCATAAAACTGAAGGTATAATACCCACATACAGTGACAACAACAAAATGAGCAACAATATTCTGAGATCTATTTTGAACTGTTATAGTGATGTCACAGTTATACACAGACGCATCTAAAACAATAGAAGGGACTGGCTGTGCCTATTTTCTACCCTCAGGTTCTGAATTTAAGTACAAATTTTCCAACGAGTTTTCAATTTTCTCTGCGAATTCATTGACCATATTCGAAGCTTTGATATATGTTATATTAAAATATATTAAAAAAACTATATTAAAAACTCATATATGTATTAAAAAATCTTTAATTTTTTCAGACTGTCTTTCAGTTTTTCAGAACATAAAAACACTTTTTTGCCCAAAACCTTTAGTAATCCTTATATTTTTTTAATAAATGATCAATTAAAGCACTTAGCAGACTCTGGCTTTAATATAAAATTTATTTGGGTTAAGGCACATATTGGACTCAAAGATAATTTGATTACTTTAGCTAAAACCAGTATAATATCAGGCACTTTATTGTCATATTCTTTATGTGTATCAGATGCCATTACGATTAAAAAAAAACAGCTATATACATGAAAAGATCCATGGAATCTTTACTGCTTAACAAACCATACAAGATACACCACTTTACAACCAGTAATTCCACAAACTACTTGTTTCAAGTATTTTAAATCTCCACGTAAATATAGAACCACCATAAATAGACTACGTTTTGGACATGTGTGCTATCCAAGTCATTTATATAAAATAAATGTGATTGAAGATGATAATTACAAACATTGCGGAAAACTGGGTGAATGTCCTAAGTTTCAACAATATTCAAACACTCTCTACAAAAAAAAATTGAATTTAATATGTATGCAGCATTCAATATCCAGTCGCTACTACGACAGTGCTTTTCAGATAAAACTATCCACCTTAAATAACTTTTGAACCTCTAATTTTTTGGAAAAACGCAAAAACACTTTAATTAATATCTGAAGGGGGAGGCATAATATCATATTTAAGGTTGCTGGAAAATGCAACCTCTCACCCCCTGTATCAACCCTTTATTTTTTTAAATTACTTCCCCTTTTTTTATTTTATATTTGGATTCTCCTTTTTGTACTGATTTCAGAAATGTATAATACATGATACTTGAAGTGATTAGTTTATGAGAAAAGTAAATACAAAAGCAAGAAAATTGGATTGAAAAAAAATTATTTTTTAACAATTTTATTACACACATTTAGAACAAACATTTCACTACTAAAAATTTTTACAATAATTGTTCAAAATGACTGCTCTTTCACTTCATACAATAGTACAATCTATTTTGAAATTCTTCTCTGACATTGCTTAACACGTCTGCATTTAATTGTCGACATTCATCCTCTATTCTTTGTTGTAAATCATTTAGATATTCTGGTTGAGTAGCATAATTTTTGTTTTTAAATACTCTCATAAGAAGAAGTCTAGGGGTGTTCAATCCGGTGACCTAGGTGGCCAATCGATCATCTGTCGTCTTTTACCTATCCAAAAACCGGGAAACGTTTCGTTTAAAAATTATCGCACAGGTAAAGCAAAGTGTGTAGAAGCTCCATCATGTTGAAATACAACCAAATCATCGGAAAGGTTATCATCATTTGCTACTATTGTCCTAACGATCAACCACTTGCCTATATAATTCAAGATACGATGCACCATTTAAGTTTCCAGTGATAAAGAAGTGTCCGATAATGTGATTACGTAGGATACCACACCATACGTTTAACCTTTGAGGATGCTGTGTGTGAAATTCGCATACAATATGTGGATCACTCTCAGCCCAGTATCGGCAATTATATCTGTTCACCAAACCGTTTAATGAGAATGGGCATTCATCCGAGAAGCAAATATTGTTTAACAATTGTGGATTGTTAATGATGCATTTTATCATTAATTCGCAACATTCGGGACGACGATCAAAATCTTCTTCATTTAACTCTTGTACTCATTTAATTTTATATGGATAAAACTTAAATTTATGGAGAACTCGGAAGACTGTAGAAGATGAAACACCGATTGCTCTGCTTATTGTTGACAGTGACTGTGATTGTTAAGAGTCTAAGTTAACTTGCCCTAAAACAGCTACTTGGATTGCTTTTTTATTTACAAGTTCCTGTCGGTTATGTTTTTTATTGCAAACTGACCCTCTTGATCTAATTTTTTCTGCATCAGTTTAATCACACACTTATGAGTTGCATGTCTATTGTGGTGTGTTTCATTAAAAATTCTAGCAGCCGCTCTTGCACAATTATTATTTTTGTGTAAAAACCTACAATTTCGATTTTCTCTTGCAAGTGTACACCATTTCAGCGATCAAATTGCACACGTATCAAAATAAGCTGTTACTTACAAGTTATAACAAATTGTCGCTATTAACCGATTAAAACAAATGTAAAAATGATATCGAAAACCTTTGATAAAACTTGAATAAAAAGTGAATTTTTTTGTTTCTTGGGTTTTAAAGGTACTACAAATAGTACGGTTAAATATTTAAAGAGTTTAAATTATGCTACAACCTATTTTGTTAGAGTCAATTAAGGTGAGGGAGATACTGTCTTGTTAACAGGAAAATTGTCTATCTGATAAACTAATCACTTCAAGCTAAAGTATTATACATTTTTAAAATCGGAACAAAAAGGAGAATCCAAATATAAAACAAAAAAAGGGGGAAGTAATAAAAAAAATAAAGGGTTGATACAGGGGGTGAGAGGGTGCATTTTCCAGCAACCTTTAATATGATATTATGTCTCCCCCTTCAGATATTAATTGACGTGTTTTTGCGTTTTTCCAAAAAATTAGAAGTTCAAAAGTTATTTAAGGTGGATAGTTTTATCTGAAAAGCACTGTATATATTATCATTATAGATTTCTTGTCAGACACATGCACGGTTCTATAGAATTTGTACGTGAGCATGGAATTTTTCATAATTGTGTAGAAGTTTAGATTTGTATCCTTTGTTTATCCTAAATCTTATAACACCTTGGTCCAGTTTTATTTGTCTACTAAGAATGTCTTGATGGGCCCTTAGACGAGAAGCAAGTGACCCTGTAAGTTTCCTTGTCGTATATTCTTCTATTAATTATCCGTTAGTTCTCTATTAGGGATAGGGTTGTGCATTTGCCTGATTAGAGAATTGATTGCAACTGGCTAAATGACTAATAATATCTATGCCATTAAAAAAATAAAACTAAAAATGTTTAAAACTAATAAAAAAAATATTTGTTATATTGCAGATTTTCAAAGCTTGTGAATTATTTTATTTATTCATTATGTTTTATTTAACATCCTTAAATTTTTAAAACGTCAGTGTTAATGATCTGAAATCTGAATGCTTGGGTAATTTTATACTTCAGTGTATTTATTTGTCATTCATATTACCAATTTATGTATAAATTTATAGTTTTTTAAGTAAACTTACGATAACAGTAATTGTTTTCGTGTGTGGACGTCTATTTAAATACAAAAAGCAGGAAGCTAATTACTGGGACAGTAACACATGTGCCACTTACCTGAAAGGGCAGCCAAAGGCCTAGAAACATGCCAGCGGTGATAGCGAGCGCCAGACCGTATCGTGGTGGCCCAGTTGTGCCGCCGCCGCCATTTAGCGGGGCGGTTCGTTGCGTTGCTTGTCTGGAGTGGCGTGTCTCGGAGCGAATGGCTCTGGCATGCCCTCGAGCAACAATATAAACGTATCCATAGCATACGAGTAGTACGAGGGCGCTAGGACCGTAGACGGCACAAAACATGAACAGTTGAATGGGTTTGGATACGAGAGCGCCGAACGAGCAGATCTCCGTGCTGAAACAATCAAAGAGCGGATTTAGAAGGAAATGTTACAGGTATAGTGTGGAGGTCTGGCAAATTGTGATAATGGTTGAAAAAACTGGAAAAAATTGAGGCAGTTTGCTTGGTTTTTACAAATAATACGAATTTAAACTGTAATGGTTGTGATACATTTTATCGCACACAAGTTTTCCTATACAGAAACGACATTAGAAGTAACAGGGTCTTTCATTATTTAACCCTAGAACACTATTGTATGTAAATGTTACGTATACGTGTTTAATCTGACAGCTACTGAAAGAAAAACCAAAAGTGGCAATGCTTAGCCGAGTGGGCTATGCTATCTTCACTTCATGATTAATAAAACAAATGAATACTCGCTTTGATTTTAGTTTGGGTAAAGAGTTTTGTACGTAAAGAGTTTTGTAAGTCTATCACTCCTAGTTATAGGACATCCATATACCATTCGAAAGTGAAATTTTTTTTAATATACATAATTTAATAATATACAGGGTGTTCCATTTAACATAAGCCTTATATTACACATTGAATAATCCAATAATAAAACTGCAAATTTTGAATACCCTGTAAATAAATGTTTAATAATTAATCATGAAATAAATTCAACCAATATCCAACTATTTAGAATTTAGAGGTATAATCAATTTTATTAGAATTTTTTAGATAAGTTAGGAATGAGTCTTCGTTTAAAGCTTTACATTTTAAGAATGTTCTACATAACTCAGAACACTCTGTACATAGGTAGGGAAGTCTTATGAAACTATACCTTATTTTTTGCCGACAATTAGAAAATGCAATAAAATATAGAGTGTCCTGTAAGAAAAAGTATAACTTTGATAAGCCGCACTTTATTGGGACGCCCTGCATATTTCAAAATAATTTTAAAATGTAGCCCTTATCAACTTTCAAACTATAAATTTAAAAAATTTTTAAAAATATTTTACCGTTTCGCTGTAATCTTCCGTCTCGTTAGTGCTGACTCACCCTGTATATATATATATAATATATATATATATATATATATATATATATATATATATATATATATATATATATATCTATATATATATTAAAAGGCCAAATATATGGCCTAGGAGACAAATTCGTTAAACTTCCCGTGCTCGAATCGGTATCACTAAAGTGTTATGATCATTTCGGCCTATCCCAGCCATCGTCAGACACTTAGGCTGATACAAATTCAAACTCGGAAAGTAAAACGAATGTCTCCCAAAACTTCACTACAGCGTAGTTAGCTTACAAGTGTCTGACGATGGCTGGGATAGGCCGAAATGATCATAACACTTTAGTGATACCGATTCGAGCGCGGGAAGTTTAACGAATTTGTCTCCTAGGCCATATATTTGGCCTTTTAATATAATAAAGCGATACCGGCTTTCGCTAAAAGATTTAATCTTTCACATTTCGCATAGCACAAAGGATACAAAAAACGATATTATCATATCGTTTCGTTCACGGTCACCAAAACCGGTGGCGCCTTTGTAAGCTAACTACGCTGTAGTGAAGTTCTGGGAGACATTAAATGATCATAACACTTTAGTGATACGATTCGAGCACGGGAAGTTTAACGAATTTGTCTCCTAGGCCATATATTTGGCCTTTTAATATAATAAAGCGATAGCGGCTTTCGCTAAAAGATTTAATCTTTCATATATATATATATATATATATATATATATATATATATATATATATATATATATATATATATATATATATATATATATTATATATATAAGAAACACGTAGAAAGAGAAACTTTTCAATAATTTAATAATATATAACTTCCGACAAATTAAATCTCCCTATCTCCATCGGAAATGTGTCGCCTCTAAATGCCAGCTTATATTTTCAATGAACAGAGAATGCCCTTGAATCTCATAATGTAGTCACTTGGTAACAAGCATGGGGCAAACGCGAATGGTTAAAAACTTGGATAAAAGGCAAAAGATTCGCTTTGACTTCAACAACTCAAATCAATGGAACGCCTGCCATAAAAGTTTTTGAAAGTGCCGTTATTTTTCTGTGGAAATAAAAAAAATTAATGAAATGAATAAAAAATACAAATGAGGTGATTTATGGCAGATTTTTTGTAAGGGAAAGTTTGTAGTATAAAATATTGTTTTCTTCTATTAATATTTTATCGTCATTTAGTTGGATTTATATACACAATATACACGGAGTAGAATGGGTATATATATTAAATGGAAATAATACAAAAATAACTTAAAAACGAGCCAAATTGAGAAATAAAATAAATAAAAATTAAAATTGACTAGGAGAGAGCAACGAACGAAGTAATAGATTTTGACCAGTTCTGTTAAGAATGTGATATGATAACTATCGATCGAATTTTATGCTAAACTCATATTGTTTACATATTGTGCACATTTAACAAACGGAACTTTACCAAAATTTGCATTTACCGAAACATGCATATTATGTGTCTATTTAAAAACATATTCGACACAAAATATTTCCCCAGGACCCTTAAGCTAGCGGAGACAAATGAGTGGAATCTTATTTAACCTACGTAATGTTTTGTGATGATTTCCAACCTTCGATAGAAGATGGACCTTAAAGAAGAAGAAGGCGCATTCTCAGAATATCATGGATGGACCGCGTCACTAACACGCAAGTACTCCAAACTTTAGACAAAAGATGCGAAAATCTAAATGAGATAAAAACTAGAAAGATGGAATACTTGGGGCACATTGTGAGAGGTGAAAAGTACGAACTTTTAAGAAACAGGGCAAAATTAAGGGCAAAAGAAGTGTGGGAAGAAGAAAAATATCGTGGCTTCGTAATCTACGTGAATGGTTCGGGTGTAGTTCGATTGAACTTTTTAGGCGCGCTGCTAACAAAGTCGCAGTGGGAATGATGATTTCCAATCTCCGCTAGGAGTGGCACGAGAAGAAGAAGAATGTTTTTTCACCAATTTTTCACTAATTTATCACCACCCTAACAATTTTTTGCTGTCAAACCAATCTTAAGAAGTGCGGTTCTGCTGGCTTAGGGAAAACCGGGGGAATTCTGCGCACCTAAGGTAAAATACTTACAAAAAGTTTCCTATGTGCAAACAAGCTTCCATAATTTAACTGCTGAAACTTGTATCTATTGGGAACGTTATTCCCATAAACAATAGGAATAAAGTTAAACATTGAAGAGATAATTTTACTTTCTTACTGTCTTTCGTTCGACCTTGGCACACATATCACGTGTATGATTAACTGTTGAGTCCCTACCACTACATTCTAAATGAGCCCAATTCGAACACATTACAAAACGGTACTAAATTTCTACATCTAATTCATCATCATCACAAAGCTTACTCTCATCATAAATTTTAGATTCAGAATTATCAAAATGTAAGTTTCTAACTCCAGCTTTTTTGCGTACAGGTCGTTTCTTTGCTTTAGTAGAAAGTTTTCCTACGGTTTCTGTCGTTTTTTTCTTGTTTTTTTTTTTGGCCTCTTCAACTTTTTTCTTAATATTTCTCTTTTCTTGTTTTATTTCCAATTGCGTTTTTAGTGGCGTGGAAGTGAAAATTTCTGAGTGTTGTTTTGCACGTGATTTGGAATCTTTCTTTATAAATTTGGAATGAAGAGTTGCTAGCTTTTCAATGGGTATACTAGACAGTTTAAATATTTCCTTACGTTCCAAGCTTGCTGGTTTGATTTTGATTTGGCATTATTTATTAGTTGGAGTCTTGTGCATAGTTTCATCACATCTCGATGGTCCCGGTTGAGGTTCAGTATTTCCGGTGGAGTTCTCTGCAGAGTTTCGTCACATCTCGATTAATCAAGAGCTCTGTAATCATTGGTAACATCGGTTTCTAAGTCCAGTACAATGTGCATATCTGAAACTTCAGTGTGATCCACTAAGCTGAAATCACATTCAGAGAATTTATTAGGATCTATGGGATATATTCCAGCATCACGGAACCCGGATATTCCATTGTCCATCGTGGCTACTCTCAGGTATGCTCTGTTAAAAATGGAAGCAAGTTAAAAATGTGTGACCTTTTCATGAGTATGAGTTCTCAGATACGTCTCAGATAAGTCGCACTTACGATTGAAAGCATTCTTTAGGGGCCCAAAAACAGTTAGGTCAAGAGGTTGAAGCCTGTGTGAGGTATGAGGGAAAAGTGAAACCATAACAATGCCGTGTGATCTGCAGTAAGTATAAATCTCCAAAGAAATGTGACTCCTATAGATATCCAATATGAGAAGCAATGAATCTTCTTTCGAGGCCTTTATATGCTGACAAAAATGTTTTATTCAGTCGAAAAATAACTCTTTATTTATCCAACCGTTTTTTGAACACCTGTAGATTGCTCTAATTGGGCCTTCTCTCATTAATTGTGGATTCATATGTATTCGAGGAAATATGAACACATGGAGGTACAAACTTCCCTGAAACATTTACAGCGTATACTATGGTAACATTTTTCCCTCTTTTGACCTTTTGGTGCCAAAATTTTTGATGGTTTCTGGACCGTAGAAATGCCCGTTTTATCTACATTAAAAATTCGACTCTCAGGAAATTTGAACTTATTCATAACTGTGAGAAGATTGTTAAAAAACCGTTTAACACCATCTTTATTGAATGCAGAAATGGAGTTTTGACTGGTACCTTCGGGTTTTCTAACACTAATGTCTGGATGATGCTTTAAAAAGAGTTCTAAGCAATCTTCACCAGCGATCTTCTTTATCAAGTCAAAATGGTATTTTATTATATTCTCTTCAGCAAACTGGTATGCCAAATGCCATAGTTCTGATAGTGTGAATCCAAAAATCATATTTGTTAACTTTTTAACATGGTTGGCTGTGGTAGATTCCTGTTCATTATTAAAAATTGGATTCCTGTCAAGTTTTACTTTTTTATGGCTATTAGACTTCAGTTTGTGACGTAGAGAGGTTTTGGGATATTAAATGATCGACCCACTTCTCGTATTTTTCGCCCAGATCGTATAG